ATTTACTAAATAAAGAATGCCATGCCCATTATATTTTCTTTCTTCTCTGTGCCATTTGACCTAGCCTCGCTGGGGTGATTTGTATCATTTCAGATGGAACATCTCCTAGGAATGAAGTCCTCCCCACCCTACCCCATAAAAAAAGTAAGGGAACAAGGGGAGCAACACTTCCCATGTGTATTCCAGGAAGCCTCCTCCGTGAGAGCCCCACTGTTCTTCATTAAACTTTTTAAAAAGGATTTCCAGAGCAAAGAAATTTAGAGAGTGCACCATGATTTTTCCTTCATGAAGCTTTACAATGGACATTAAAGAGCCTGAGAAGTCCTGCAGTAAAAATTCCTGCCTATTTTCATTTAAATCAGATTTTCCAAACTCATTTACCTGCAACCCCCTTTTTCATAATATCTGCTACCATCCATGGAACCAGTGCTATGTGGACACGCTTTGGAGTACAGATCAGGGGCCCAAGGAGACATTTTCACTGGGATGCCCACCTGTAGTGAGCTGAATGGTGACCTCCAAAAGATATTCCCACCTGAACCTCAGAATGTGAACTTACTTGGAATAAGGGCCTTTGCAGAAAAATTAAGTTTAAGATGGTGAAATGAAATCATCCTGGATTAGGGTGGTCTCTAATCCAATGGTGAGTATCCTTATAAGAGATAGGAAAGGACACACAAAAACACAGGGGTGAAGACCATGTGAAAACAGAGGCTATAACTGGAGCTATGCCGCCACAGCCAAGACAGCTTGGAGACACCAGAAGCTGGAAGAGGCGAGGAAGGATTCTCCTCTAGAGCCTTCAGAGAGAGCATGGCCCTGTTGACACCGTAATTTCAGACTTTTGGCCTCTGGAATGATTAAAGAATAAATTTCTGTTGTTTTAACCTATCCAGTTTTGGTAATTTGTTATGGCATTCCTAGGTAACTAATACATCACTCTTATCTTCCTTTGCCACCACCTACTAGCTGAGTCATTGGTACAAATTAATGCCTTTGATTACCATTTTCTTCATCTTCAAAGAGAGAAAAAAATATCTACTCTGAACGTTGCCAGGATATTTTTGATTCTTGAAAGGAAAAATGAACACAAAGGTGCCATTTAACTAAAGAGTTCATGGATAGGAACCTGATACCCCCCATCAGGCTATCAGGCCCAGCTACTAGGGTTGGGCAATCAAGGAGAGACAGGATATGGAATCAGAGAACATTGCTGGTCAGATCTTACAAATGTTCATGTGTTCATTCACCAAAAAATGTTCCAGGGACTGTCATAGGCACTAGGGATACAGAATCACACAAACATATCAAACCCCTGTTCTTGCGGAACTCATATAGTCTTTGAGGGAGTTAAATAATGAACACATAAGTAACCCATTTAATGTGTCAGAAGTTGATGGAAGGCATCTTGGGTTCTAGTACAGCCTACGGCCCTCACTCCAATAACCACTGATTTAGCACACCTGATGGTTTCAGCCTCGAAGATGGCCATGGGATAATGTGCTTGATAATAGCAATGTGGTGATGGAATCGGCACCTCCCATAAACACTTTCCACCTGGAGAAGATCCTGAAAATAAATAATGTAGTGGAACCTGAGCCATTTATCTTTGATAACAAAATAAGCAGCTATCCAAAGCCAGGTGACCCAATAATTCCACTCTTAGGAATATACCCAAGAGATATGAAAACACAGGTCCATGCAGAGATGAGTCATTCAAACAAATATTCATACACAAATGTTCATAGAAGCATTATTCACAATGGCCAAAAGGGGAAAACAACCCAAGTATCCACTGAGAGATAAATGGATAAACAAAATATACATCCATACAATGGAATATTATCCAGGCATGAAAATAATTGAGGTACTGATATATTCTATAATATGAATAAACCTCAAAAATATTATGCTAAATGAAAAAAGCCAAATACAGAAGGCCATATATTGTATTATTCAATTTATATGAAATGTCCAGAATAAGTAAACCCATGAAGACAGAAAGCAGATGGTGGTTGCCAGGACCTGGGGGAAGAAGCAAGTGGGGAGTGACTGCTTAATGGGTACAGAGTCTCCTTTTGGGATGAAGAAAATGTTTTGGCCTGTGTGGGCCTTTTATGTTGCTGCTGGTCTGGGGGTGGGAAGGGCAGGAACATGCCGGGGCTCTCACTATAAGTATGGGGTCCACTATTGCTCAAGTTCAAAGCCAGAGCCCTGCCAATGAGGAAATAGGAGACATGTTCTTACCTAGTACGGGATTTGGCAGGCTCACAGCTTGCAGTGGCAGGGTTGTGGCAGGGGTGGAAAATGAAGTATCTATGACACAAAATAGAGAACGAGAGCCTGGCCAGGAGTTGAGGAGCATTCCAGAGAGGGTGATGACATCTCCCTTGTGAAAGCCCAAGTCTTGAACTACCTTCCCTTGTGTGGTGCAAAGGAAAGTTCATGCTAGCCAGCACCTCTGCCTTTGTTCTTGCACTGTGATTCCTTTCTGAGATTTTTCCCTCTCCCTTTAGTAAAAAGCTTCACATGCACATTGCAGCACAGCATGTTAGGAATAGTGGGTATCAGCTTCCTATTGCTGCTATAACAAATTACCACAAACTTAATGACAAATAATATAAATTTATTATGTACAATTCTGTAAGATCATCAGATGTATGTCTTGCTGGGCTAACATCAAGGATTTGGCAGGAACTTGTACCTTCTAAAGGCTCCGGGGGAGAATCCATCCCTTGCCTTTTCCAGCTTCTAGAGGCTGCCCATATTCAATGGCTTGTGGTATTTTTTTTTTATCTTTTAAGCCAGTAATCAAATTATTCCAACATCATATCTCCTTCTTTTCCATTATCATATCTACTTCTCTGACTCTCTGTCTCCCTATCCTATCTTTTAAAGGACCCTTGTGATTACATGGTGCCCACTTTGATAATCCATGATAATCTCCCCCATTTATAGGTCCTTAAATTATCTACAGCTGCAAAATTCCTTTTGTTATATAAGGTAACATATTTATAGGCTCCAGGAATTAGTACATGGACACCTTTGGGGGACATTATTCTGTCTACCACAGAGTGGCTGGAGAAAGAGACAACTGCTGTACACAATCATGATGACCATCAGCAGAGAGACCCAGACCTGGAGGGTGTAAGAGAAGAACAAAGTGAGAGAGCCCTAACTTTTTTATTATTCCCTAAATTAGCAAAAGCTACTCTATTAAAATAGAAAAGGAGGAGTCCAACAATATGTGATTATAATATGAAGAACTAACCGGTATGAAGCATTTACTAGGTGCCAGTTTCTCATACAAATATATATACATATATATATATATATATATATATATATAGAGAGAGAGAGAGAGAGAGAGAGAGAGAGAGAGAGAGAGAGAATGTGGTATTATTAAGCCACATTATATAAATGAGGAAAGACAGATTATTATTCAGAGACTAATAGAAATTACCCGAAATCTCACAGCTAATAAGTACCGCAAGTGGCATTTGAATTTAGTTCTATCTGATGTGAGAACTGAGCTCTCAACCTAGTGTTGTATTAGAGTGGGCTAACTGCTGAGCACCGTCATCCAGAAACTTAAGCTGATACTTGGGCTGTTTTCCCCTTTTGGCAATTTAAGTTTGGCAATTCCTTCTAAAGTGATATTTAAGAAGAAGCCTGGGGTAGAAGAAAGAGCCTTGGACTTGAAATCAGTTGATTTATTTCTTGTTTATGTAGCAGTCCAATGTGGATATTTGTGGGCATCTTTCCCTGGAGTGATTCTGGTCCTAGGTTCCTTCCACATGTGGCTCTGCTATCTGCTAGGCCTCAGGGTCCCTTGCTTCCAGAGGCAGATAGGAAAATAGGGGATGAAGAAAGCATGCCTGTTTTTAAACCACCTCCTTCCAGAAGAGATGTATCGCCTCTGCTCACATCCCATTGGCAAAAGTTGGTCATATGGGCCCATCTTGATACTGGAGGCGGAGAAATCTGGCTCCTGCCTAGACAACCACTTCCCAGGAACAATGCTA